ACACATCCTAACATCGATATCAACGTGTTAAATGTACAGCTACGCTACATTATGGCTTTAAGTACTCTAGTGTACTTAAATACTGTACTTGAGTACAATTCAGTACAGTACTGCTACTGACTGAAATTTACTCAAGTAAAAAGTATTTAAGTAAAGTACAAAGTACATTTTTTAAGTATCTTCAGTTTTACTGGTACTTGCTGTACTTGTACTCGCCCAATGACTGGTCAGCGATGACTATCGTTTGATCATCATCAACGAAGAGACCGTGAGGTCCGTCGAGTTGAATGGTAGCATGGCCTCGTCGGTGGCCTCCAGCAACAGTCATCCCATTCTGTGCCCATCGAGCATCGGCTGGAATATTCGGAATTACTATAATGAACGAAAAAGAAAAGAGATCGTCATTGTCGAAGAGATCTCGCTCTCACTCGTGGAGGAAAGAGCTATGAAAAAGATATTTGTCTTCTTCGAAGGAAATTTAGTAAAACTTTTGAAAATGTTCTCTCCGCAGATAGAAATTCAGAACTCTTTTCCTAGTTTCCTATGAAAACAAACTACACCTAGAGATTGCTGTAAGAAGGTCCTCGAAGAAAGAGTAATACTAATTCCATGTAAGTTTTTGATAGAAAACATAAGGATCTGAGAATTTTTATTCGAAATTGCGAGAATTTAGAATTTTTTTTTGCAGAATGATCATTTTCTATGAATATCAGAGAAGATTCTATTTGGATCTTGTGAGAAGAATATCGAATTGTTGAATAATAAATATCAAATCTGATCCCCATTTTTTGTCAGGGAAATCTTAAGGATACATGATTATCTGTATGATGAATGTAGATCTCCCGAAAAATCTCTTAAAGAGTATGCTAATGAAATTTTATAAGACTTTTGTACAAGTTATGTCAAGCTATTCGAAGAACGACCATGATATGCTTTGAGTAAGATGATGAGAAGGCTTGAATACAGGTGAAACTAAGCAAAATTAAGAAGATTCCACGCAGATCTATGTAATCTGAGTACTTGTACTTTTGTAAATATTGAAAAGATGGATGCCAATCCTAACGAAGTTCTCCAGTGAAAATATTATTAATTGTTGATGAAAGCTATCCTCAAACCATTGTATTAAGGTCCTAGAAAAGAATCTCATTGACTAAATAAGATACTCTGCTAAAAATGTAAAAATAATGAGTATTTTCTATGAGGATCACGGTATAACCTTTATGTAGTGCTTGTTCTGAGAAGTCTTCTTTCAGGAGGATTTTCCAACTGTGAAGTTGATACTTTTTCTCATCAGACTGAGAGTGCAATAATATGGAGTAGGAATGGGGTAGAATGGTGGTGCCTATCTCTGGATTTTATAAGAAAGTTTATAAAGAATTTATATTTAATTGAGCAATAATTTATTTAAGTTAAAGCTAAATTTTATATAAGATAAGTTTTTATATGAAAAGGATGTGGAATCTCAATCTCGCCGTACGTATATATGTATCACTCTATGTATATCAATCCATAAGATGGAAAATTCCATAGATGATGAACAACGAAAGGAAAATGTCTATCATTCCTTAAAAATATATTTGCAAGCACATCATTGATATGTCCATCAGATTAAAATATTGTAAATCTTCATCAGAGATAAAAAAAGAATATGGAAATAGGTACAAAAAGAAAAAGACGCAAACCATCCAAAGTAAAAAAAAATCTTTATTGATACAATAACATACTATGTTTTCATTTTTTTTTATTTCTAAAATATGAAAATACTATTGCTATTTAATGAATTAATTATTGTATATTTAGTAATATAAAATTGCTGAAATAAATACTAGCCTTTATAAAGCATCAAAATTAATGTGCTACTAATTGATATCAATCGTAGATTTGATTATGTTAAAAAACTTATGTGTATTTAAGAGTGTTTTGGGTAGAAGTTCAGTTTTGTAAAATCCGATTGGAATTGGAGTTAAATCGGGTGTTGGAGTGGGTGGGACATAGTGTAGTTACTCATCTCCGCTTAGTACACAAATGTCGATCCTAATCAGTATCCATGATGCCTTCTCCGAAATATTAGGAATTAAACCTCCCTCACAAAATCGATTTTTTTTTAAAATAATTTCTGGAATCTAGTGGCATTTTTGTTTTTGGAATTTAAGTTCATAATGATGTCTAAGTTTAATTTCTATATGTGGAAAAACCTTTCTATGACCGTACGATCTAGTAGACCGAGTCTATATTTTCGTGGATGTAGTACATGAAGGAATCTTTGTAAAATAGTAACATATTTGATAAAATTTCATTTTATATTAATTAAAAAGCTTGTCCGTCTATAAATTTCTTCTAGAGGTTCAGAAACGTCTTTTATTTCAAAGTAGATTTTTCTTGTTGAAGAAAATCTAGCTTTACGTATACACTTCGAAGTTTGTTCGATGAATACTTATTAGTTTGAGAACGGATTTTTTTCTTTTGAATACGATCCAAAGATATTTTTTCGAAATAGGCATAACAGAAAACACAGAATATGTATTCAACTGCTGTTTTTCTACAAACTATTTCTTCAGAAGACAATCATATTCATCGAAGTCGACAAAAACGAAGGCGACTTTCTTGTTTCAGTTATTTTGTTATTTAGAAGGTAAAATGTTGCGAGTGACAATAGAATTCTTTAGAAAAAAAAGACTTCTATTGAATATTGTACCAAGATGCTAGGAAATATTGGCTGTACTATTCTTAGAACACTTCTTACGAACGATAACTTTCTTCTTTATCACAGGATAATATATGATTCTTTCTCATCCTATGCATGAGGAATAAAATAAAATAAACTCATTTACTAATGGTGTATTGGACAAAAATTGCGGTCTTAGAAATCTTACATCATATCGTACTACATTGTAAGATATCACTATAAGATTATAGAAAATTTCATGAGATTGTAAGATCTTTCAAGAATTTTATCCAGATCAAAAACAGATCATATCAGATTTTATATGATCTTGCCACAACAAGTGACAATATTCTATGGATTCAATTTTTTTAAAGATTTTGTCCGATTCAGAATAAAAGATGTCATTGGAAATCTTCTAAGATTCTGAGAGTAAGAAGCATATAAGAATAGAGTAAAAGACTCTGATCTGATCTTATCCAATCAAATAGGATTCATAAACAAAAGAAACTTACATCATTACGTAATTCAAGTCTTGTCTGCTCTTGTTTGATTCTGTGTGATCTGTTGTGTTCTTTTACATATTCAAAAATTGTTGATTTAATAGTTTTTGTTATGGAGAAATGTACAAAATACATGAAATTGTGTTATGCAAATCAATGTTTTCTATTATTGTAATTGTAAAATCATTTTTGACTTCACAAATGCTTTGTATAATAGATAATATTTCGACAGAAAAAATATCGATCGATGTTCAAGTTTTTCTAAGGGTGTGGGTGTGGATATATGTGATTAAAGACAAAAGGAACACCCACACCCTCCTCTTTGTCAAAAACTGACCTGTTGGTTATCATTAAAACATCATTCAATCTAACAAGTAGAAAAACCAATTCAATTTTTGCGGGTGGATTTAATCAGCATAAAACTGACGAATTTTTAATAGCCGTTATTCGATTTGAACACAAAAATCTCACAATAAATTTTCGCAAAGGAAAAAGTTTGTTTATTGAAATTTCAAGATATTAATAAAAAATGATTGATATTTGTAGAGAACGCAAGACATACGACTTATTTCATATGGAGAAAACGAGAGCGAGACACTAAATTCCAAATAGACACACATAGATCACAAAGAAAAGCACAACAAAGATTTTTTCAGTCTTCTCCGAGTGAATCGATCTGGCCGCATTCTTTGTTGAAGTTGATATTGACGGTGTGGATGTTAGCGTTGATGTTTTTGGCGTTGTTGTTGGCGTTGGTGTTGCTGGTGTTGATGTTGTTTGGGTGGATGTTGTTGGGGTGGATGTTGTTGGCGTTGTTGTTGGCGTTGGTGTTGCTGGTGTTGATGTTGTTTGGGTGGATGTTGTTGGGGTGGATGTTGTTGGCGTTGTGTTTGACATTGTGGACGATCGTGTGGTTGTAGTTGTTGGTGGAACGGTCACATTCAATGGTAAGATATAGTTACTTTTAATCATTTCAACGATACGTTGCACTGTTGTTGATGCAGAGCATGAAGGCTTGTTGCAAGTATACGATGCCTCTTCAGAAAGCGAGTCTTGACTTACTTCTTCAATCCATTGAAGAAGCGGTTGATCCGTAGAATACGCACATCTGCTTTCGAATTCGGGGCCTTTGCCATCGAACTTATTTCTATAGAATGCCTCGCAGAATCCTTCGCCAGAACAATTTTTACGACCTATGCACCCATCATGAGGTCGTAGATCACTTGAATTAAAGACCAGATCCGCTAGATTCTTTCTCAAACTTATCATTTCGCTCTGAACTCTGCCCCAGTCACCACTCAAAGTTTCTTTGACAAAGTCTTGATCACAATTGCTTGTCGTAGAACAGCTGAGAGAAATTGTTACATTGGATGTTTCATCGTAAAGTGAAAAGTAGGTTTGCGTAAAGAATTCATAACGCCATAGAGGTGTTGTAGCATCGAGACGTCCAACAATTGAACCAGAATGATAGTTAATTATTAATATAGCTTCGCAAGTATGCTCAGTGCTGGATTTATTGACAATGGTACAAGATGGAAAATTGACATTATCAATCTGAGTGGAGAAATCGCAGTCAGTGGCACAAATAAGAGCATCAACACGTCGAATCGATATTAACAACAAGAAGACAAGGTGAAACGTGAGCGATAAATGTAAAACCGGTCGCATGGTTGATTTTTGTTGTTATAGTGCGTTCTTCTATAGCTCTGAGTGAAACTTGTCGCTTAATATTTGTTCTTCTTTATCAGAATTTTTTTCTGTCATATTCTAAGCGACAGCTGTCAATATTTACTTGTTTTTTTTTTACAATGACACCTTTCAAAAAAGACGCTTATTAATGCAATATGTATGGGGTTGAAATACGATATTCACACAAAGATATCAATGATATTCTAGAAGAGATACCCACAGATGTAAAATCTTGAGGGTGAGTGGATGAGTTTGAAAAATAAAATGAAAATGTTTAGCTATAAGCAATCATACCACTTATCCACGGAATTACATATGAATATGAACAAATGTATCCACATGGAAATGTCTCACCAAGTATGAACAACTTGTTAAGACTTCCGATAACCGGTCGGCCATTCTACCGTTAAACTATCCGATTTTCTCTCCAGTCATAGAAATGACTGTATCTTCGCACATTCATTTATAAACATGATGTACCAGGACAATAGTGAAAAAGGATAAACTTATGTAAACTTTTATTACTGCACGAGAACTTTGATATCCTATTGAAATACTATAAGAATCTTCCGAAATAGCAGAACAGAACTCTTTATTCTCTATCTTGAGGGTGAGGGTGATTCAATTGAAAAACAGACTGACCTATTTATCTTGAAGAACAGACAAATACAATCTGCTGTTCTCAACTTTTGCTTTTCAGTAGGAGGAGTGAGAGTAAGGGGGAAACAATGATTTGTGATTTTGTGATTTAAAATGATTTTGTATCATTGAATATAGTGTAAATATTTCTCTCATAAATGAGCAGTTAGACTTATTTTCGATTACTATCTTTCATGGAAAACATAATTGAAATTTATAGTGTTTGTGTTTAGCTTATTCAGACTATTGATGAAGTCATTGTTGGAATATTGACTCAATATATAAGAAAATGTCAATGATTTGCATAAATAAATATTATATTGATGTGAAATCGTGTATGAGTAATAGCTTTAGATTCTTCTTTCTGCATATTCACTCACAACAGAACCGTCGGTACTGGTACGTGAGTGTTGACTTATCATATTCAAGTCAAATTGTCATTCTCACCACCAAATTAACAAATTTAAAATATTACATGCCCATAGCAATCATAGACCGAGATATTCAATTTTTAAAATATTCACCATTTTGGTATAGGAACATCATTATATGAAAACTAGTCATATTTAATTTTGTGGAACTCATGTATGTTTTCGAAGAAAATAGTGAGTGTAAGTTTTAAGTTCAAGTTTTGGCGGCTCCTCCCTCTCCATTACAGACACTTAGCAACGGAGCAAGAGAACATTACAGACATACCCCCATTACAGACAGGCCCCATTACAGACCTTAGGAACCGGGATTAAATAATGGATAAATAAATACACATATATATAATAGTTTCATTTGCCATTTAATGCAATGCTTGTAATAAAAAATATATATAAAATTAAGACAAAAAAATTGTGAAAAATGAGAAATACTGAACGAAAAGCAACAATGAAAACAAAAAATAAAGGTGCCTCTCAGAGAATTAAAAAATTTAGAAATTCTTGTTTTTACACTTTCTATATTTCATATTAGTATAATGAAGCTGAAGAACATACGTGAGTTCCACATTTCAGCCCCAAAGGGACTGCGCTAACAAGCTTTTTTATACAAGCATTTGGTTTTGGGGCAAGTAAGTTTTTTTTATCTTGTTGGGATTTATCGATAATACTAGGTTCTGCTTCTTCTAAAAATTTACTAACACAATACTAGGAAAAAAGTTGACAATTCCTTATCAACATAACATTAAAAAAACTTACTTGCCAAAAAACCCAATGCTTGTATAAAAAAATTGAATATCTCGGTCTATGATTGCGATGGGCACGTAATATTTTGAATTTGTTAATTTGGTGGTGAGAATGATAATTTGACTTGAATATGATCAGTCAACTTATATACCAGTACAGACGGTTTCGTTGAGAGTTAAAATGATTCAAGGTGAGTTATGTGCTTTAATTTTGATTTTCAGCTGATTTAAATCACTTGTTTCTCCTTTGGGATGAATTTTATATCAGCGCATCTTTTATGATAAATCTATGCAAGTTCAGCACAATCACAATTGGAGTAAAAATGATGATAAGCTCCTATCTTCTAAAAATAAAGACAAACTTTATCAGCAAATTTTGATGGAATGCGTTTTGCTGAGTAAGACGAACAAGAGCAGATAGAATATATCTAATATTAGGTGAAGTTGCAGTTGAAAGATTCAGTAAATGAATTTTCAAATCCAGTTCAAAAGTTAGAGACAAATTGGTCATAACAAGTGGTTCTATATTAAAAATTAGAAAAACTGTATACACTTTATCTATATTGATAAAGTTTGAACTCCATTTTCTTACAAAATATGGGTTAGTTGCATACTCTCTATACTATTTGAAGTTGCAACCATAAAATTAAAATAAAATCAGATGCCCTTAATCAATCTTCATGAGATTTTTATTGTAGCTACATCTTATTATTCTTCATAGTTTTTGAGAGCTTCAATTCTCTAACTCTACTTAATATGGAGATATGAAGCTTACAGGATAAATAGATCCGTAAACCAGCGTCTTTTGATTCATAAAAATTCCATATATATCAAACCTGAGAGTTGAATTCAATGGGGGTGAAACACATGTTCTTTTACCTAAGAGTAAAAGTGAGATGGGTGCATAAACACATTTACGCGCGACCTCTTCCACGAGGGTGAGGGTGAGGGTGTGGGTGGGTGTGGGTGTGGGTGGGTGGGTGTGGGTGTGGGTGGGTGGGTGTGGGTGGGTGGGTGTGGGTGTGGGTGTGGGTGTGGGGATGGGGGTGGGTGGATGTGTAGGTGTGTGATAAGTCTTCATCTACATCCACACACACCCACACCCACACCCCACATCCACTCCCACACCCACAACCCACACCCACACCCACCCACACTCACACCCACACCCCACACCCACTCCCACACTCACAACCCACACCCACACCCCACCCACACCCACACCCACACCGACACCCACACCCTAGCCACACCGACACCCCACACCCACACCCACCCACACCCACACCCCACACATCCACACCCTATCTACTGTCTCATTCTTTTGTATGGATAACGAGAATGGTATATGAATGATTCTGCTCGATGCTCAGCTGAAATAATACCGAAATTGCACGACTAACTTTTGATTAAATATGGATGGTTTTGAAAGCTGATATAAAATAGTGCAATACTCACCATGTGATACAAGCTCCAAGTTTTGCTTGGTACGTATTTCATTCAATTCAGTTTGTAAAAATCGCTCAGTCTGAATTAAATAAAGACCTTGAAACTTGTGTGTCGTGTAATGATCACCCCAGTTCATGTGATAAGAAGCAACTTGAACTCCAGATAGTTCTTGTTGAGAAGCAAGTGTGTTGTAACAACCTAAAACCAGTTTACGTGATCTTTCGATTGCACTTTCCTTGTCCATCTGATCTGATAAATTCTTGAACCATGTAATACTTTTTTGTATAAGCGCGAATGTATCATGAAAGGAGAGACTCATCTTTGTGATATAATCCGTAATATAATAAACAAGCGCTTTTTCATCACTACCACTCCATATAAATTTTATATCCATGTTGGAACGACAGGCTGAAATAAGATATTCATTAAAATTATTAATCCATGGATGGGATCGTCGCGTAGATATATGACCAGTGTCAGGATCAATTGATGAAGTGGGTACTAATTTACGTGGCATATACAACCGACAGTTATTCTTGTCACCTTGATTAGCAGTATGATATTTGTAACATGTATCAGTGTGTTTATGAATGTTGTCTGCCTCAACGAGTTGCACCACATCTGCCCGAAATCGTGATCTAAAATTAGGTGATGATGGATTCGGAGTCGGAAGACAAGATGGAATCGATTTTGTTTCGTTATATGAAATATCCACGCCTAAAATAATAAGTAATGCATTATCTTATTCTTATGGCAACTATATTTTACCGAATATTGAATGATTATGAGTTGGCGTTTGTAAGAATCTTTTTGGTGAAGCATATAGTTGAGAAGTTGATGAAGACAATTGTTCTTTCACTGGTGTCGACCAAGTATTAGATTGATTTATATTTTGTTGAAAATCCGTAATATCGATGGTGTGCAAAGCTGTATAAATGTTATCTTTTGATAATCGTGGTGATGTATTTCTTGATGGTGTATCTGCAATACGGAACACATAATGATAATCAGAAAACAATAAAACTTATCTACCATTCAAATACTCTAAGACATGTTTATCTTTGAACTCATCTAAATCTTCTTTAATAATATCTTCTAAATATGCTATTAACTTTTCACGAAAATCAACATTTTGAATCTTCTCTTTCATATAGGCTGGTGTCATATCGTGATCAAGCCAAATAAGAAGATGAAGATGAAGAGAACCTCGTCCTTGGCTTTCAACAGTACCAAAGTAAGCTTTTATTGGTCCAAGTACACCACCAACAATCATAGTATCTAAGATATTAGTAATTAATATATGAAAAAATTTGGCGGTAGCAACGGGATGAGAAGCAATAATTTCCGCTCTTTTATAAGTGTCCATAAGTTGCTCTGTTTGGATGTTGTCTAGATCAAGCTTAACACCTGCAAAATATAATGCCACAGGACTATGAATATCGGCTGGATTCAAAGTAAGAAATATGCTTGGAAGGCCTTGGTTATAAATAAGTGCATGAATTTTGGTACGTAAAGCTGTACGTGAATATGCTGAACCCATCACGCGACCATCAATTGTTTTGATATGATTCAATAATTTATTTAACGCTTTGCTGGACTTCATATGGTAGGTTCTTTCGGAGATATTTTTAAGAGCTGTTTCAATATCTTCGCTGCTTAAAGATTGAATTTCGTGAGCAGATGATCGAAAGTAAGGTTTCGTTGCTATTAATTGAGCATGGAAGCAAGCATCACGCCGTTGCAATATATTGAAGACCACGAATATAAAACTGTGATTTTTTTCAAAACGTCGATCGCTGTAGGACAACAAGTATCGTATATGTTCTCGTAAGTTTATTTCAATTGGACGCGTTTGACTTTCAGGTGCTCCACGTCCATAGCAAAATAAAGTTGGATACAGGCCGGCTAATAGTTTTGGATTAAAGTACTCACTAACAGGCTTGGAAGAATGAGGAATCAAGTAAACTCGTTCGTTGTCCATTTGTTCTTCTGTTTTACTGTTTTTAACTTTGTGTAAAAAATATTTTGCAATATCATCAGAAGACACCATGGAGCCATTAACATCAAGAACACCACTAAAAAAATGATATATAAAATAATTTCTTTGACGATGGATCTCACCTATTATTGATAGGAATAACGCCTACATTGTTGCACTCTGTTGGGTTAGATAAAGGATCAGGAATATACCCAACTCTTTCAGATTCAATTTCTTCATCACCTATTCTCTGTTCCATTGTTGACATAATGGATTCCGGTACGTCGTCATCAGGCAGTTGGGCAATATTCTTTAGGTTGATCTCGATGTTTCGATAGAGAATATTAAATTGCTTCAATCAATTCAATGCCTGAATAATTTTTTTTTTGCGCACCGTTAAGATTTTTCGAAGATGGATACGCTCAGGCGGACGAGCTCCAACAAAAATCACTTTAAGTGTGTCACACAGATCATCAAGTGCAAGTGGTAGACTAGTAACAATACTTGGTATATTTTGAAGAAAAGTTATACAATTGCCTTTCAATGCTGTTTGTGAAGTCGTAGCTGAATGAAAAGGCGAATGAAGTTTTATCACACAGCTATTATGACGGTAAAGTGATATTAATTTTTCTTCTGGAATCGTTAGACCTTGTAATTCGGGCGGCACATCACCTAACCATACATCATTAGCAGCTGAAAATTTTGGAATGTGTCCTTTTAATAGAGCGTCCTGACATTTGTAACAAAGTGTACACATGTTTGTTCTGTTTTGTCGAAACAAACCATTGTTATATAAGAAAATATCATTCTCAAAATAAAAAGATGATGACTTGGTAGTTGAGGACTCTAAAATTATTAAAAAGCATTGAAAAATTTATAAATTACACATGAGAAGCTATTACTTTGACTGTGTCCAACCATAGGTATACTAATATTTTGTGCAGTGGTTACAATTTCTTGGTTTGAATGTTCAGTATCTGATGACTGAATACTTCTGATAAAATTTTTAAATTCATCGGAAACTTTCAGTAAATGAACGTTAGGAATTTTTGAGAGTGGTACTTTTTTCGACTTTTGTACTGGAGCGTAGACATTACAAACTCCACAAGTAACTTCAGCTAGTTCTGACATAGACAATCGATTTACAAATTTTTGCAAACAGGCCTCTTTTAATGCACGAGGTATTGGTTGTGGCCACAGAGAGTCAACGGACCATTTTTCTCTCCTGGAGGACGTCTGGTTTTGTATAGAATGGTTGATATTGGTACTATCACACAAGTCGAGCCCCTCCGTATCAATCATATGCATCTCGATATTTTCCTGCTGAATATTTATAATTTCAGTTGCATGTTTTTGAACTTTCTTCTTCGTTCTATTCGATTTAGTTCGATTCTTATCTTGTTCAAGTCGCATCTGACATTGTTCTTCTGTTTCATTCATTCTTCCGGATCGACTTCGGTTTTTTTCTTTTTCAAGACGGATCTCACGCTGTTCTTCTGTTTCATTCATTCTTTTGAATGCGCTTTGTTCTCTTTTTTTTTGAAGTCGATTTTGACGTTGTTGTTCTCTGTTGTTTTGATTTTCTTTCACTACACCCCATATACGTGATTCGGAAGAATTCTTCTCTACATTCATTTCAATTCGTAAACGTCTGTTAGGTGATGCTTCAAATTTAGGAATTCGTACTTGCATAACAGCATTATTCTTAAAAGTCTTCTTTTCAGGAGTCTAAACAAATTCAACAATTTCAAACTTCGGTCTACATGGAAATAACTTACTGAAAGAGTTAACGTTAATTGATTGCTATGAATAGATTCGCTTTGGGCCACAGGTGACAAAAGTGGAACAAAATGATTAGGACTCCAGTTACTATTATTTGCAAGTCTTGCCTGTATTTCGTTCAAGATATGGCACCACAAAATTGTGATGTTACAATTAGCAGTAGTAGGTGGAGCAGGCGTATGAACACTATTCCAAAGTGCCATATAGTCTTGAGTATTAATATTTGGATAGACACTTCTTATATTACATTTAAGCACGCTGCATAGCGCACTAATTTCATATAATTCCGAAAATGTATTGTTTTTGCACACAGCTTGGACGGCAATATCGATGGGTCCAATCAAATTCAAGTAAATGTTTGAACAATACATTTCATTCGTAATGAACTCAATAATCGTTCGAACTAAAATTATTGAAAAACAAATAGTGTACTGATATAATTAAAATGCCAATTTATCTACCACTTAGTTCACTTGTTGTCATCGTTGGATTATTCATTAGAAGGCCAATAGAATGGTATAAACAATTTCCATCAGCAGGAACTTTGACTGGAATCAGATGACGCACATCATTAGCAGCCTTTTCAACATATTCCATGGCTATTTCGTCTACGTTATATCTTCTCTCATCAAAAACTTGATTTGGATGGAATTCAATTGGTACCATTATTGATTCGACCTTCAAGATCAAGACATTGATTAAAATTTAGGCTGTACTCTAAAAAGGCTTACCTGTCTAATTCGTTGTACAATAGAAACAATCTCATCATAGTACATGATACTTTCCGTGCATCGTTCCAAAGTTACAAGTAAATGAGCAAATTTTTGAGAACGACCCATCCCATAACATTTTAAACAACAGCCACCCGTACATTCCATGGAACAAAATAAACATCCTGTATTCATATCCGACTTCAACGTATATATCAATCTACTATGATCTGAAAAAAAGTAATCTCTCAATGCCGCAAAAAGTCAAACTTAACCATAAAAAAAATAACTTTGTCCACCCAAACTTTCCCGGAAAATTATACGTAAATCTCGACCCTGAACGTTGCCCAGAGAAATTCTCTCTTAGGGAATTTCATCTCGAATCCCGATCACTCTAAGAAGATAAGAAATCAGATTTTCTATCTCTAGGGTCACATTCGATGCCACTTCAATACCTTCGTATCAAAAAACGAATTTAATTTTTATTCCTAAGTTCATCATTATACATATCCACAAGTGGACCGTGAAAGTTGAAGAGAAAAAATCTCTCTTATGGTACTTTATATCGGATTCAAATCAATCTGACAATATCATAAATCATCTTTTCTGACTTTCGGACCACATCCGATGCCAGTTTAATGCATATGGACCAAAAAAAAATTTCATTTTTTTCCAAATATTGATCATCAAAGACATCCACACATGGACCTTTGCACGTTGAACAGAAAAAATCCTCTCTTAGGAAATTTTGTCTCGAATTCGAATGAGTGTAAGAATATTAGAAATCATCTTTTCTGTCTCTAGGACCACATCCGATTCCAGTTCAATACATATGGACGAAAACAAAATTTAATTTTTGTCCTCACGTTGACCATCAAGGACATCTACACATGGACCTTGGACGTTGAAGAGAGAAATTCGCTTTTACGATACTTTATATCGGATTAAAATGAATCTGACAATAGCATAAATCATCTTTTCTCCCTCTAGGATCACATCCGATGCCAGTTCAACACATGTGGACGAAAAAAAAATTTCAGTTTTTTCCTCATCTCGACGATCAAAGATATCAACACATGGACCTTGAACGTTAAAGAGAGAAATTGTCTCTTACGATACATTATATCCAATTGAAATCAATCTGACAATAGCATAAATCATCTTTTCTCCCTCTAGCATCACATCCGATGCCGGTTCAATACATATGGACGAAAAAAAAAATTAAATTTTTTTCCTCATATTCACTATGATATGCGTCTACACATGAACGGTGAACGTTGAAGAGAGAAATTTTCTCTTAGGATACTTTATATCGGATTAAAATCAGTCTGGCCATATCAGAAATCGTCTTTTCTGCCTGTAGGACCACATTCAATACCAGTTTAATACATATGGGCGAAAAAAAAATTCATTTTTTTCCATATGCTGACCATCATAAACATCCACACATGTACCTTGAACGTTGAAGAGAGAAATTCTGTCTTAGAAAAGTTTGTTTCGAATTCGAATGAGTCTAGGAATATTAGAGATCATCTTTTCTGTCTCTAGGACCACATCCCATGCCAGTTCAATACATTTGGAGAAAACAAAAATTTAATTTTTGTCCCCACGTTGACCATCAAGGACATCTACACATGTACCTTGAACGTTGAAAAAAGATATTCTCTCTTAGGGAACCTTTATCCCGAATTGAAATTAGTGGAATAATATTCTAAATTGTTTTTTTCTGTCTCTGGGTGCATATCCGATGCCAGGTCAATACATTTGGACAAAAAAAAAATTTCGATTTTTTTGTCTCATGTTGATTTTTAAAGACATGTACATGGTGATCTTGAACGCTGAAGAAAGAAATTCTGTCTTACAAAACTGTAACTCGAATTGAAATTAATCTAATAATATTCTAAATGGTATTTTTTCTCTCTGGGACGATATCCGATGCGAGTTCAATAGACAAAAATCGGAAAAAAAATTCGATTTTTGTAGTCCTCTTGATCATCGTAGACATATGCACGTAATGTTGTGGCTGGAAGTAAAAAAGTTTTCTTATAATTCAAAATAGCGAAATTTTTTTTTCACAATGGCAAAACATATCGAAACTTTTATACGTTTCGACACTTGTTACAGGTCATATTCAATAAAACGAAAAAATCATCGGATTTAACTGAAAATAATACAATAATTTGATCAATTGAATTGCCATATTACCACCAGAATAACAACAAATATTAAAATGAATAGAATCGGCAAATATTAATAAATGAAAATAGCACAATTTATGTTAACAGGGGTAGAACATATTGAAGCTATTAATATTTGCCGATTCTTCTTGTTCATTTTAATATTTGTTGTTACTCTGATGGTAATATGGCAGTTCAATTGATAAAACTATTTTATTATTTTTGGTTAAATCCGATGACTTTTTTGTTTTATTGAAAATGACCTGAAACAAGTGTCGAAACGTCTAAAAGTTTCAATATGTTTTACCGTTGTGAAAAAAGTTTTTCGCTATTTTCATTTATTAATATTTGCCGATTCTTCTGATTCATTTTAATATACATTTTCTCTTTAGTTAGGAAAGTTGGAATTCGGATAAGTGTAAAATGATGAAAAGGTCTATTTATAATTCATGGAAGTGCGTCGGATGCTGTTGCAACAAATGCAATGGATAAAATTGAGTTGTTTTTGTTTTGTGTAAGGAGGATTTTTTATGAATTTTTTTGTAGTTCTGGAAAAGAAAAGGGTTGTTTTTTTTTCCTTAATGTAGGGTGGAAGGTACGAGGAATGAATAATGCTATGAGTTGGCGGTTGGTGCTGATGCACATATTGATTTTAATATTGGTAACAACGAGACTGACAGATGTACAGAGACATGGACGACTAGAGTCTTGTTAAGTAAAATACAAGATTGAGCGGATGGAGATGATATATAAGTGATTGCCGTTTGAGTTGGTGTGTTGTATCTTGTTCCTGTTAAACTTTCTTATATTTTTTAGCTGTAATTTTCAGCGTTGATAATTGTATTTCGTATTGAATATTTGGTCTAATATTCAATTATGGGTGTTATTGAGTTGTAAAGTATTATTCATAATATCTTGTTTGTTTAATTGTTTTCTGGTCTGGAAATGTAACAATAAAAGTTTTTTCAATGAGTGTGTTCATTTCTCTTAATTCTTTGTTGTTTTTCGACAGTCTTTGAACTAGAGATGGGCACCGGGACCAAAAAAATTTTCTGGTCCCGGTAAAAGATTTGCTTGCTGTTCTGCTATCTTTATTGTTAAAATATTCTTTGACTGTCCATTTTGTAGAGAAATGTTTGCTCTTTCAGCCTATATATTTAAAAATGTATCACAGATCTTCATTATCAATTAATTAAGCCAATACAATGACCGGGACCAAATTGGTCCCCGTTGGTCTCGGTCATCTTGATCCCGGTCATGTATTTGTTTAATTAATTGAAAATGAAAATCTGTGATACATTTTAAAATATATAGGCTGAAAGAGCAAACATTTCTCTACAAAATGGACAGTCAAAGAATATTTTAACAATAAAGATAGCAGAACAGCAGGCAAATCTGTTACGGGGACCAGAAACTTTTTTTGGCCCCGGTGCCCATCTCTACTCTCAACACAATCGGAAGTCTTGACTTTAAAATTCTGCTGTTGAGTAGAATGAGTTTTTCGGCAAAAGGGAATGTTTATCAGATTTTTGAGGTATGATGCTTTAGATTCATGAATTAAAACGATCTTTCTCTATCAGAGTAAAAAGAAAAAAAAGAACATTTTTTTTTATTTTTTATTTACATATTTACAATATATACACATAAAAACATATTTACATATTTACATCACCTTGACCGACCACCATCGTACCAGGCATAAGCACTAGCCAAGACGATTGGTATGGAGGAGGTGGATCCATATGGCCTTGTTGGTCTAAACAAAATATGTTTTTTATTAGTTTTTCAAAAGTACAATGTCTAAGCTTACCTGTGACCGGTGTACTGATGGTTTTGTACACCGGTTCACCTCCAATGTACCCTACCAGGTACAATGGAGCCACTTCTTTGTCTTACTGAAGCAAGTAACCTGTTTTTACTGGACCTGCGGAGACCACCTCGTCCGTAATGGTTCCAACATCACGGACGGATCGACAAGGCCACATGGTTCCTATATTATAAAAAGATAAAATGGATTGAAAGATTACGGTGAAATCACTTACCCGGCTTCGCCCGTACCAACGGTTTATGGTGGCCGGTACCTGCCGTTGCCGAATGGTAACATGCCATCATTTCGCCATATTTGGCGTGGCCTAATACAGTATTATCAATATTGTTCATATTTGTTTGACCTGGAAAAGACATTTTAATAATCTGAAAACATTTGATTATTAAATAAAAAGCTTTAGAGGAAAAAGAAGAAATGTATTGTCTTATTTTACGAATGAGTAAAATGAGTTTTATTCATATGTATCACGTTATATATATGCGATGATGATTACCCGTCAAGTTCAAGTTAATATCGCACAAAAGATAAACATTATGTGAAAGTATTCACGGCACATCTCTGTAAGAATACATGCTGTTAATTTTTATCTTCAACGGTACAAATGGCCTATGACAGATCATTAATCAAATATGAGGAGATTCATTGCTCAAGCATCAAATAATAACAAATTTCATGCATACCAATTTATGATTTCGATATCCAATTTATAAAAAAATATATGTACAAGCATATCATCCACAACAGGTGGTGCCTTTTTTCAATCTTATTCTTATTTTTCTTCAGCATATTCACACTTTTTATCTCATATATGATTGTCTTATGAATCTTATACAATGGCCTTCAGATTACATAATGAAATAATCTGGCAAAGAAGAGCTTTAAATACTTATAATCTGACTTTCATGCAGAAACTTTTAAGATAATACATGTTTATTGTTAAAGAATAATATGATAAAATGTAAACTATATTTCTACAAAAAACAGTTGATAATTAACTTTCTAAGATAATTTGCTTGGTTATTATAAGTATGATTATTTTCGAGTTTATAAATGAGCAAAAGACAAAATCAAATTTTAAAAAATTCAATTCCAAAGTAAGTATGTTTCAGATCAACAAATAAAATTGAAATGGTATGAGTATATTACTCTACATCTAATTTACAACGACTTAATCATTTTTTTCAATCTGATTTAATGATTTAAACTTTTCAACGTCGGTTTCTTTATCTTGATTGGCACTATCATATTGATGATCATCATCTCGCTTTTGTTCGCGATAATTATTCAATTGATTTGAATTCATTTGTTTATTTTTATCGCGCTTTTCTTCGTTATAATTGTTCAATTGGCCTGAATTCTTTTTTTGATTTTCACAACGTTCATCCACAAGATAAGATGCCAATTGAACATCGACCTTTTCTTTCTAAAATGAAAATGCTAGCTGTATATATTATTTCGCAAATTCCTTCTCACTTGTTGTTCAGTTGATGAATCATTCACTTGTTCATTCTCTTTTCTTGTTGAATTACAATCATCTACAATGAATATTAAAAAAAACATTTCAATATTTGTATGTTAATTAAATCTTTTATCGCTACCTGAATCATTCAATTGATGAATATGATTACCAAATGTTGATGACAAATCACATGATTTCCAACTTTCTAGACAGGAAATTATATAAATTGATTCATCAATTAAAAATGTCAAACCGTTTGGTTCCATTTCTGGAACATCTGAAAACGGATAGCGAACTCGAAATTCATCGTCATCTATGTCTAAATCTAATGGCCAATGAATAAATTTAGGTGGTAAAGGATTATTAAAAACTGAATTGAAATCATCATCGGAATCTGTCATTGTTTGTTGACTCAAGTATTTTTCTATATGATAATAATGTTCAATAGATATCTCAAAAAAAACAAATGATTCAAGGTTTATATAATAGAAGTAGATGTATATTTATTGACATGCTTTCATTAGCCGAATTAAAAAGACAACTCGTCGAGATTATCATATTTATGTGAGATGTCGATAGACAATAATGTTATTCTTCTATTTATCACTTCATCCATAAAATAAATTTTATTTGGAAAAAGCTTATAAATTCGATAGCAACGTATGTTTAGAAAACGTTCAGTGTTATTCATTGAGTTGTAATAGTATCGTTAAATAATTATTTTTTCCGATGCTTTGCAGTAAAAAGATATAGGTATGAACCAGTTTATTGACGCACAGATACTTTTCTACTCTTACAATCAAAGTAAGCAAAATGAGCAACGCAGTTGACAAAATCTTTTAAGAAACAAAAAAAAGTAGTAATAAAAAATGGACAATGCTTAATATATAATAAAATATTTGCTAAAAAAAATAATTAATTTTAAGCGAATTGTATATATAACTATATACAAAATTGTGTGAAGTTCATTTATCTGAAAAGAAATATTTTTCAAAATCATCAGAACACTTAAAAGTGAACAACATACTTGAACGTCACATGCCATGATTCAGCTCCTCATTTTTGGCAAATACCATCATCTGGATGTATCGATATGTAGCAGTTGGCGTGTTCAATATGATCACATAAAAAATAGGCCGAGTCACCTTTCATAAATATGTTGATAGGGAGATCGCAGAGAACACGCATTAGTTTATCTGGCACAGCCATCCTATAAGTTATATCACACGAGCAATAAAATATAAAATTCATCATATTACATACACTGCTATAATGAAAACTGATCGATGAACAGCAGTTGTCTTTCTCGAGTAATTATTCACGAATATTGTACGTGCATGATACAAATCTTTTTGCATCAAAATTTATTTCAAAATTACTCATATGTATCTACTTTGATTGCATGTCTGCAATGGAGAAAAATATAATCACGTACTTTGGATAGTATTCAAGGTCTTCTTATAATATTATGCCTCTTTCTTTCAAATTTTTATTCACTAATAATTATTCAAAGATTATACATCACTCTCTTGAACAAATTAATCGATACTAAAAAACAGACCAAGGTATCTCTAAAATATTTTCTGTTATATGTCAACTGAATGACGAGTATTTCAGATGGTATGACATCATTTAAAATTGCTTTTTAAATACATAAGGCATATAATACTAGAGCTGAATCTTTGATAATGACACTCTAAGAATGGCTTTTTAATTTATGTAAAAATATTTGAAAAAAATACGTTCGAATCAATCAACTGTTTTCCCTCTCGGATTTAAAAGAGTTCAAATTAATTACTTTATTGTATTCAATCATTACTACTAGATCTTGACAATATCATATATACGACCAGATCATAGATTGAAATTGAAACATGATTATTTAAGTTCATGTTCACCCTCAACTCTTTAATTTCTAACACAATTAAGTGGGTATGTATGACAAAATCTACAGTAATATGTTCTTAATTAGATAATTCTAAATTAGAAAAAATGGACAATAATTTTATTGTAATTGAATTATGGGATAAAAAGATCTCTGGTCCAGCTGATAAAATAATTTATATTGTTAAAATTCCACTAGAACAATTTTATAGACTATTTAGAGATAAACAAATAAATCTAGTTCTTTTACGAGCTTTGATTAATCTGTCCGCCTGGATTATAGCTTGAAATAGAATATGCGCTCTGAACTTATTTACTATGACCTTAAATAAAAATGTAAAATTCAGTTACCAGTAAAAAACTAGTAAACATGTTTTCGAACCTGGAACATTCACACACGTAGCAATTTTAAATCTTTCGTTTTGCCACTTAGTTTCAATTTTCGATCTTAAATTAGATAACAACAATTATTCTTCTCTAAGTCAATCTTCATTAATGGGCATAGGTGTATTATCTTATTAATTAATATGCCCCATGATTTATTACCGGCTCATTTTTCTCAAAAATTTTTAAACAATGTATAGGAATCGAGGTACCATAGTAGTATTTGAGTCATTGGTGAAAGGAAGTTTTGCATGTCGTCGATATTCAATCAGACGATTCAGAATGTATTCCAACTAATTGAAAAATCATCATTGTCGACAGTTCAGTCATAATCATCAATATTATGTTAATTTCAAATGTCATTATTTTGCAGATGATCTTTTGCTATCTACGGTCTCGTTATGAACAATTGCAACATAAAATGGCTTTTTTTTCAATCATTTACTTGATAATTCTATTGAATCACGAATCTCTAATGGTAACTCTTTGTCGAAGAATATTTCTAATTGTATGAAAGAAGATTTTGCTGAAAAATTTCACACATGCTGAGTTCCCAAATATAGTTTAAAAAACAGATTCACAAATAGTTAGAATATCTGTGCATGCTTCTGTATAATAGACATTTAAATAAAAATACATTTTATTGCTTTTTTAATATAAATAAAATAGCACAATGATGTGCTACTATCATTATGAAACTTGTCTACTTGCTTATGTTTTTACAAAAATTCTATATATGCACAAAAAACGATTATGTTATCATTGGTCATTGACAAGCCTGTTTTTTTAATAATTGATAAAAAAGAAGGTACTCTCTTTCTCACTCTCTTGTTTTTTCTTATCGATTATAATAAAACACAATGAAACATTAGTTTTTTGTTTCATATAAAAAACTTAGTACGGTGAAATATTCATACTAATATTTTCTCTTTACTTCGGTGTCAACCATGGCTTCTTTTTTCGATCGTTTACGAATGAATATTCAAAATTTTTTTAAATCAATTTTTGGTGGTACGGCTATAAATACGGTAACTGGTACTGTAGAAAAAGCGATTAATACTACTGTACATACAGTAACTGGTGCTGTTCAAAATCTCGTTAGTACTACTATCAATACGGCAACTGGTACTGTTCACATGGTCGTCAATACTACTGTAAATACAGTAACTGGTACTGCTCAAAAACTTCTTAATACTGTTGGTAATGTCATCAATAGTGCTGATGATATCATTGCCTCATCAGTAAATTGGCTAAAGGGTATTCAAAAATATTGGCCTATCTATCTGGCTATTATTGCTATTATTATGGTCTGCATTGTCGTCCTGTATTATTCAGTTTGTTATTACCTTAATCGAAAGAAAGCTAATTTACTCAGCAGTACATTTGTTGACCTTGCTAAAGTTATCAACAACAAAAGTGATATCTTGCAACAAAAAAAACCACTGCCATAGTCAATGTTGAATGTACCTTCCGTTTATTCAAGAAAATTATCCAATTTCATAGTTTAAACGGAAATTTTAATGAACATTCTTTTTACATTTTTTTAAAACCCGTAGTTTTCGTAGTTTAGTTCATATACTGAAATAGATTTTAGGCATCTTACTGTTCTAATCATCATTTAATCTCGTTTCATTTTTTTCATCATATAATCATTTTTTATATAATCATTCGGTTGTTGTTCAAAATTCATTATTTTAACCATTTTTTTGTGTATGCAATTGTTCGATTATATCTTACCATTATTTTAATAAATGCACGTCAATTAAAAACCAAAATCTACTTTTGTATGAATATTGAATAATGTTGTGATTATCGTTAATCAAGGTTACGCTTCCTATCTATTATGATTTATTAGTTACTGTCTTTTTTTTTGTATTAAATATGCAATATTATTTCAATTATTTTTGCATTTTTTGCTGCACGACAAATATCGATCGATTGATTTCTTTAGCCTAAATTCTATATTCCATATGGTTACGGTTAAGATAACTTACATTTACTTTGATGCCTACACATACATTGTTTTTGCCATTACATGAAAATTACACTTAGCCTCTGCAATGGAAAAGAGGGCGTTGATGATCATTCGATTTCAATCCATATCTTGGGTGTGAGTATGAACCAGAGAAAGACATGCACACCTACACCCACCCACCCCCACACCCTACTCACACTCACACCCTATTTGTATCTTTTTGAGCAAATTATTCGAGTTTTTGTTGTATTTGATCAATTTTTTGTCTAAGTCGATTAATATCAGTTTCAACAAAACTTTCTTCTTCACGACAATAACGAATTTCTTATGTAATTGGTTCAAGTTGTTTTATTATTATTATTCTTTGTTTATTAATTAATTCGATAAGTTGAGAATGAACGTGTTCTGCTGCTTTTTCAACTTTGTTGGTTGTTGTTTTTTTTTCCATTGTTCAATTTGATCAAAAAGGTCTAATGAGAAATAATTTGATTTTTCTAATTTTCGTATTTATTCAAGAAGTCTATCATGTGATCTCACAATTTCATTATCGAATTTAATTGATAGTTGCTGTTCATGTTCTTTGAAATCCTTTGCACAAAAGTATTTTTCACATCCTGTACAAAAATATTTAGTTAGAGGTTTATTACAAATTGAACATAAATTTGATTCATTTATTATTGCCATTTATTTTTAAAGAAAATCACTCAAACTTATGATGAATATTTCGATTTGAAATGAATTCATATGAATATTTATAAAGAAATTGATATAATTCAAATATCGTTCAACTATTTCAAATATGACTCAATCTATATTTAATAAAAATATAGAAATAAGATAACTTTAATGAATTCCTATGCTTATGAATTAATCATTATAACGGAAAAAATTTTTAATAAATGAGAACTCGTTTTCATTCTATGAAAATATGTTTATTACTTGAACACGAAAACAAAACCATCTATGATATTTTTACTTCTAGGAGATAACAATAAAAAATTTTTGAAAATAAATGATGATGTTTCAAATAAAAAAAAATTATGTTTTGTTTATTTCAATAGCAAAAATATTTTTATCAAGGATTATTTAATTTGATGAAAAATGATGTGGCAATATTTGAAAAGACACGAATGAATAAATGAAAAGTCAACAACATCTCCAATATTCTTTACTTTGAATGAATTTTTTTATTAGTCACAGAAAACAAACTATATCATGAGTTCTTTCCTTTCAATATCAATTTTGGTAGATTACGTCCATGTTTTGATTTAAAAATACGAGATAAATTTTGAAAATATTATAATTTCTGCTTGTACAATCCTTTGATTATGTACGCTCGAAATAAAAATAGTTCTAGTATTTATTTTAAATATATCGTCATCATAGGAGCATATTATCAAAAAACGAAAATTAATTATATATTCAGAAAGCGTTTGAACTTCATCAACAGATTCTCACGAACTTGATGTGTTTTTTTTATCATTGCCATCAAAATAATTTTTTAAACGTTTTTCATGATTGTAGAAATATTTTTTTTGAAAGCAAGTACATATCATGATAAAGATTAAAATTTCCTTTGATCTCATATATTTATTTACTGTCTTACGTTGATTTGTTAAAGAAGCGTATCAATGCAACACAAGACAAATATATATATGAGATGTTAGAGAATCTCAAGTTCTATTGAACTTTACAAATACTTGGTATAAATTTATCTTCATTTTAAGTTAATTATAAATTGAAGAAAGTAGAAAAAGTAGTGAATGCCAACACTTATCTATCAAAGATTCGTTCGCTATATTAAAATTATTTTTCAACGAATAAATGCAAGGTGATAGATAAACATATTGGATGATAGAAAAAATGTTAAGTTCTGTCACAATGTGTACTTGTTTTTTTTTATTTTAAAATATTTCTACAGCGATCAAAAACTTGAAAAACTTATTTCAATAATAATGGCAAAATTAACTCTCTAGAAATCCCTGTGAATCCATTTAAGAATCTTTGTCACATCTACGACAATTCAAAAGTGTAGATAAATTGATTATCTACATGTACACCCACCCATACTATATAGAGTAACTTCCGACTTACGCCCACAATTCTTACTGTTTTGGATTTCAGATATATGCATTGAAAAACAAAAGTTTTTTTTCTCGGCGAAATATTCAAAAGTTCTGTTCACAGTTTTATAACAGTTCAATCAACACGATAAAGCAGTCAATATGAAGTATTTAGATTGTTCTCAATCTTTTAAATATTAAAATTGATATTTCCATCTTCTTTTATTTCATTAAAGATGAACAAGTTGTAAGTAAATATGTGACGAGATATTACTTTGATAAAATCGATTCGATACAATTAATTATGTAGAGAATAATTTTTACTTTCAAAATATCTTTTTATTTCTACCTTTGAAAAAACAAGCAATCTCACGTATATTATAACAACAACTTGTCTGGTTTTGGTAATTGAAGAAATATCAGTGATGAATGGTTTTTTTCCAAGAAAATTTTTCTTCAAAAAAAATTATTTCATGAAGATGAATTCTATGAAGATTATCATTTGAAATTCAATTGATTAACTACTTTCACATAAGTGATAGGAGAAAGAAGAATTTCACCTTCATCCTTAAAATATGAATATGCACGAATGAGTTTTTCTAATTTTCTTGTCAATAGAAAATATCGTTCAGGTATCCATTTTTTTCGAAGAAAAAGATAGCTTGATCTTCGGAAATTTCTCGACAAATTGTTCCATGTTTCGTTGGCATGATATGCTGAAAACATCATCTCAAGTTTAAAGAAACCTATGAGAAAAAACTATAAGTATTTGAGCCATAGTCAAAGTTTTTGATTCCGAATCACATAAGAATTGTTCTCACGTATATTCGATTCTATTGTGTACAAATAAATCGATATCGATTTGTCTTCATTCAACCTATCTGTACGTTTTTTCCAATTCATTTTATCAATTATATTTTGTTAGAATTCTTTGTCAAGAATGTTTTTTTTTCTAATTATTGACATACTTCTTCGACAGATAGCAAATATTTAGTACGTTGTCGCTAATTGATTTGAGTAGATGCTTTAGTTCATCATGAATGTTAATCTACAGACTCGACTTTATTATATCAAATATCAATTGGATTCTCTTAACACTTAATGAAAAAATATCAGTATCCATCATTTCATTTCTTAATATTAAATGTTAACGAATTACTTAATATTTTATATCAAATTTAAGTAATTATGTTAAACAAATATCATTTAATCTCGAATTTTTCTCTACTACAATAGGAACTCAACATGTTGTTATCCAAGTAGCTTTTTCATATCAATCAATCAAATGCGAGTAGGATTTTTCTCTATTCTTGTAAGAAGAAAATCTTGTGTTGTTCGGACTGATCATGCGACTATCAGAAATTTTTTTTAAAAATAGTTCGGATAACGCTATGCTGAGTTCTTATTGGAGCGAAGAAAAATTTGAAATTAAATTATATTTGCTCAACATAATCATTTACATTTAATTTTAAGTTAATTAAATGGTAAGTAAGAAAACTTCACCGTAATATAGTACTAAAATAATTTGCTTACATTTAATATTAATAAATTAATTGGGCGCTATTGATATTATTTTATCAATCTTAAGGATTAAGTAGCGAATCCTAAGTTAAGATAAATGGTTAGTCCCTACAACAAATGATGATTTGACTTGCATAAATTCTATTATTTTTGCACATTAATTTCTTACTCATCATTCAATGAATTATTTGTTTTCATGTTTCGTAGGAAACATATGCATAAGAAGTGACGAACCCTATTTAAAAAAAACCAGAATAAAATCAAACGATACTCACGTTTGTTCTCTTGAGAAGAAAAACGTTATTCATTTCGAATAAGGTGCATGCGACTCAAAATTTTCATATCATTTTTTTCGCTTTTTTGTATGATTGGATAGAGCACATGAAGTCACGTAGAAAGTGTCTTTTTACTTTTCATCAGTAGGTTTTACGAAAAAAAATGTTGTCATGAGAGTTCTTAAATAAATCAACTCTTTCGTTTTAAAAGCTTTTTCGATTTTTCTAATGTGATTCTAAACATTCTGTCTCTATGAAAAATATTAAATCGTTTGTTTTCAATTCTTGCTGATAAAGATAATTTTGTTTTTTTTCAATATCAGTGACAAAAGAAAAAATGTTGTTCTCATGTTTAGATATGAAACTGAGCCAAAAAAAACGTAGATTTCGTTATAAAATATTTTTTATCGAAATAGCGTCTGAGGAGAACCACAGACGAAATGAATCAAAAAGAGTCAATGATAGAGTAGAGATTAAATTTTGATAAAAGATAGTTTCACATGTTCATTCTGAATATCATATTTCTTTTCCTTGTTTTTCAATTATTGATGGTCAAGATCTCTAAATACAAAGAACGTTTTTTTGTTGTTTCGTCATTCTTATTGAAAAAAATTATT